TCACTAAGTGTTTGGCGGAAAGCCAATTTTAGTTTCCTGGTTATTAAAACTCTATCTTAGCATTTAACTAATGCTATTATACTAAAATAAAATTTCTGACTAATCAAACATAGCAGTTCAGTAAAACGCGCTATAAGAATGTGCTATCAATGGCAACTTTTTTTGTAGTGGCCTTAGGGAAAAAAAGAATCTCATTTTCGACAAAATCAGAAAAAAATCAAGTCGAGAGAGAAAGGCGATTTCTCACCGAAAGCTTTAATCAAGGTAAATCGAAGCATAAATTTGAAGATTTGTCGATTTAGATCAGTTATCAACTTGTTTCCTCTCTTGTTTCCTCTCAGTTTATTGTGTTTCGATCGATTTTGTTTTGGTCAAAATTAGGGTTTCAAAAAATTTGGGGTTAAATCGATTTGGGGGTAGAGTGCATTTGTAGATAGGGTTTGGGAAGGATTTTCGTTTCAATCAGACGGGGATCTTCCCTTTTTTCTTACATCGTTTCAAGATGTAAAACTGGTTTCAATCAAGGATTTTTAAATTTTTACAAAATGCTAAATTGGTGCAATCGATCATTAAGCTTGGGTTATTGGCTTGTGATTTGTAAGACTTATTATTCTTTACCTTTTAATTTTAGAGAATATACCTTTACAAAACTTTGACGAGAAGCAGAAATTGATTCTTTTTGTAAATAGGTTGTGTATCTTTTGTTCCTTTTGTTTGTTTTCTTTTTGAAAACTCTGTTTTGATGATAACATACTCTGTTTTTGAAAACTCTGTTTCTGATGATTATTATTATTGTTTAACTTTGATCTTTACGTCATTTCTTTCAGGTTTACGAAAATGGGGCAAGATTACAGCTATAGTCAGCCTTAATCATCATCAGAATCGCTAGACATAACCTCCCTTCTTGAAGCCGAAGCTCAGATTTACGCGGAAGAAGCCACAAGTAGCTACAATGCACAACCGGTTGAGTACACACTTGTACCAGAGGCTGATGAAGGAATACCTAGGACATGTTACTGTGGTGCTGATCCTATTCTCCGATGCTCCTACACTGCTAAAGATCCATACCGAAGGTATTTTATGTGCCACAATGTTGATGATGGCGACTGCCACGTATGGAAATGGTTTGATGTGGCAGTCATTGAAGAGATGAAGGACTTTCAGAGACAACTAATGAAGCTTAAAGATCAAGGTAAAGACAGTGAGCAGAAGCTCCTTAAGCTTGAGAAGACGGTATACGAGCTATCAAAGAAGAAATCAAGTGCTAAGCAAATGGTATGCCTATTAGTTGTAATAGGTTTGGTGTTGTTGCTTCTGCGTGGGTAGTTTCTGTCCTTTTCTCATTGTAGTTATGGAATTTGGTAAAAACATTTTCCTAATTGTTGTCATGTTTTTCAGGAATAGTTGCAAAAGCTTCAAAGGAGAGTGTCGTACCTTCGGAGTTTCTGCAATGAAGGTACAAAATTTTAAATTTACGAATACATTACGAAAACATTTTGTACATTATTGTTTCTGCCAGAGTAAGTTATTCTTACTCTTTCTTTTTTGAATTTTAAGTTATTCTTATCTGCTCTGAGTTGATGTGAGTGTTGTTTGGTTTAGCTTTAAGGCCTTTCTCGATTAAAATACAAAAGTTTTTAGGTTGAATTTAAAAACTACTTTACGAAAACATTTTGTGTACAAAACTTCTCATTTAATGATAGCTAGATTCAAAATTATTTTTGGTTTCTATCTTCCTATCTGCCCCGACTTGATTGGCTTTAATTAGTTTAGTACTTAGTGTTAAATGATAGTTGTTCGCTTTCTACCCTCCCAACTCCTCCGATTTGATTTGCTTTAATTAGACCAAACTTTCTCTACTTAAGGCTCTGTGTCCCTAGTCGGCACAGAGCATCCTCTAACCATGCCTAACACGTCTGGCTATGTAAACCTATTAAATAGTCAAATTCCAATAGACCTTGATTCTGCCGAACATATTTGGTTCGATAGCCAAGTTCCCGATGAGAGGAGGAAATGGACGCCCAAAGAAGATAAAATCCTTATTGGTGCTTGGCTAAACACCAGTAAGGACCCTGTCATCAGTAACGAGCAGAAAGCTGATGCTTTCTGGAACCGGATTCTTGACTACTACAATGCAAGTCCTCATCTCGTTGGGACAAAACCGAGGAAGCTTTGTCCTTGCAAGCAGAGGTGGGCTCGGATAAATGAGCAAGTATCCAAGTTTGCTGGATGTTATGATGCGGCCCTGAGGGATCAGAAAAGTGGTGAAAGTAATGATGATCTCATGCAAAATGCGTTAGACTTATTCTTCAAGAAAAACGACTACAGGTTCACCCTGGATCACTGCTGGAGAGAGCTGAGACACGACCAGAAATGGTGTGCCACCTATCAGGCTAAAGACAATGGAAAGGAGAAACGAAAGGAGGTTGATAGAGAAAAAGGGGATATGAGAGAACAAGAGAGTCGACCTATCGGGGTTAAGGCCGTGAAGGGTCAAACTAAGAAGAAGAAGAGTGTTAGAGAGCAAGAGTTGACAAAGCTTCAGACTGTTTTAGAAACTAAAGAAAAACTCTCAAGGCATAAAATCCTTGAGCGTTTACTCGCGAAGACAGAGCCACTTTGCGAGATGGAAAACAGTCTTAAACTCAAACTGATGTCTGAACTTCTGTGATGTCGTGTTGTGGTATTAATCTAGATATGTGGTGTTAGTCTTGTTTAGAGAACTTAATTCGTTTTTACAAGGCTAGACTTGTTTAGAGAACTTAATCTTCTTTTGTGGTGCTATACTTGTTTTGTGATCTTGAGACTTTAAAAGTTTGTGATGCTATTACTTGTTTTGTGATCTTGAGACTTTAGAGTACTTAATGTTGTCATGTTTGATGTGTCAGGGTCCGCAGAAGGCATGTGAAGAAGGACACGGGAGTGCATTTGGACGTGTGAAAGTCTTTTGGTCATGTGAGCAAAGTCACGGGTGTTTCTGTTTCGTTTTATGTATTATAAGTAGTTGGCATGGTTCTCTTTAGCTATGTATCTCGTTTATCAAACTTCTATCTTTTTGATTCCTTAGCCTCATTGTTCTTCTGTTTCTGGGAGAGGCTGGAATCTTAGCAATGTATCTGAAGACATGATGTAATATTTTGGTACGAAAACAACAAGAACTCGCTTCTCTTCCTTCTCCTCTTTTCTTTTGTTTCACAAACTTGAACTTCTATAATTTCAAATTTTGCTACGAAAACAACAACAACTTGCTTCTCTTTACTTTCATTCCTTGGTTTACACAAGCTGCTACAACCTTTGTGACCACGCAGCTTTGTCTATACGAGTTCGACTCCTGTAGGTAAACACTGATGACTCTTCTCTAAATCATGTTCATCGTGTGGTATGTGGAATAGAAAAATAGAAATTGTGTCGTAAATAGAACTTGATAAAGAATGAATCTCGATAATAGGTATGTTGGTATGTTGAACAGAAACATAGAACTTGATAAAGAATTTATTAAAAATTGAAACCATATAGAATTGGTTAAAAAAATGATAAGATAGTAAAACTAATAGAACCGTATTAAAACTGAAAACAGAGATTCAAGAATGGAAAAAAAAAAAAAAGAAATGACAATTTGTATAAATGAAACTTAAAGTAATTGGTATAAATGAAACTTAAAATAATTTTAAAAAATTGAATTTTAAAATAAATGATGATGAATATTCAGAAGATAATAAAAATTGGAATTTTAAATAAATGATGATGAATTTTGAGAAGAAACAATTAATTCCTTTTACAATCTTGAAAATTAAAAATTAATTTTTTTACTAAAATTTGGAACTATTTTAATTGGTTTCAAGGAGGGATACCTAAAGATGTCATCATCCACATCCGATGGCGTCGATGAAAAACTAGAAGAAAATTTCGACGAAATTGTCGAAGATACGTACAATGACATAGTGGAGTATCAAACAAATAAGCAAAGGAGACGTGCTTATATAGAACGAAACCGTGAAGCAGGACACGAGCGTTTATGGAATGACTATTTCAGCGAACATTCAACATTCTCGCCATATTTATTCAGACGCCGTTTCCGCATGAATAAAGAATTATTCTTGCGTATTGTCTATGGCCTCTCGGAGAACGTTCGATTCTTTCGACAAAGAAGAGATGCAACCGGGAGATTTGGTCTTTCTCCACTACATAAATGTACAGCAGCAATTCGCCTGCTTGCTTATGGTTCTGCGGCTGACACGAAAGACGAATATCTCCGACTTGGTGAAAGCACGGCACTTTCGTGTTTACACCATTTCACTGACAGAATAATACAATTATTCGGAATATCTATGCAAACCGACACCAGAGGATCTTCAGCGACTGCTCGATATTGGAGAAAAACGCGGGTTTCCTGGGATGATAGGAAGCATCGACTGTATGCATTGGGAGTGGAAGAATTGCCCAACCGCATGGAAAGGACAATACACACGTGAATCGGGAAAACCGACAATTGTCTTTGAGGCTGTGGCTTCACAAGATCTTAAGAAAAGAAAATTTCGTCGAAAATTTCTTAAGAAAGGAAAACGATATCAAATAAATAAACTAAGATGTACAACTAAAAATAGATATTTCTAGATGGTGCTTAGAATTCCAAGTATCCGTTAAAAAGCAAGCCCATAAATAAACCACCAATCCAAAAAAACAAACAATCAAAAGATAACTTTTTGTATAAATAATAAACAGTATTAAATAAATAAATAAACTAAAGGTGGCCAAAAGTTCTCTAGTACACGTTATAAACAAGCCAAATACAGACAAAATAAATCACCTAGCCCCACTCTTTTTTTATACAAACAACGAAGGGTCATGATTATACGTTGCCCATCCCGTACCAATTGTCATTATCTTTCTTTTCATCTTGTCGTTGCTGTCGAAAACATTTGGCTCCAATAACATAACTTCTCCAAAAATCAAAAGAAAAGATAAATAGAAAGGCACTTTCGAGCTCTCTTGTCTCTTGCATGGCTTCTCCAAAGTCTCATGTGTTGATTAGCTTCTTTCTATCTACGCTTGTAGTCACTGCCGTCACCTCGGAAACGACATGCTTGAATTTCCAGTCGATCATCAGTTTCGGTGATTCCATTACCGATACAGGAAACTTGATCGCTCTCTCTACTCCAAACCAACTTCCTGAATCTGCGTTTCCGCCATACGGAGAAACCTTCTTCCACCATCCAACCGGCCGTTTCTGTGACGGCCGTCTCATCATAGACTTCATTGGTACATCTTCTCTTTCTTTCTTTCTCATCATAGACTCTTTGAGAAGAATCCAAAAACACATACTGATAGTCATTAATTTTTCTTTGACGCTTGCTCTGTTTTATAACATTTGAAACCTGAAGACAGACAACAATTATGTTCTTTGGTTCTGTTTTTTTTTGTAGCTGAATTCTTAGGGCTTCCGTATGTGCCTCCTTTTTATGGATCTAAAAATGGAAACTTTGAGAAAGGAGTTAATTTCGCGGTGGGAGGAGCAACGGCATTGGAAAGTTCATTTCTTGAAAAGAGAGGGATTCATTGTCCTAACAAGAACATCAGTTTAGGTGTTCAGCTTAAGAGCTTCAAAGAGAGTTTACCACTCATATGTGGCTCACCATCAGGTGATGCTTTTCTTTTTATTTTATTTTCAATAGAGCGATAATTATTATGTATAGCTATAACTTGTAGAGTTTTTTTTTTTTTTTAGATTGTAGAGATATGATTGGAAACGCTTTGATTCTTATTGGGGAAATTGGAGGAAATGATTATAATTTTCCCTTTTTCGACCACACAAACATTGAGGAGGTCCAAGAGCTCGTTCCCCTTGTGATCTCTACTATTTCTTCGGCAGTCACGGTAAACATTTTTCATCTTTCTTGATTAGTTCTTTAAAAATACTATACGTGTTTAGTTGTTTTGAGACCAATTCATTTTGGAATCCAGGAGTTAGTCGATATGGGAGGAAGAACCTTCCTAGTTCCAGGAAACTTCCCGCTCGGGTGCTCAGTAATCTATTTGACATTATATCAGACATCAAACAAGCAAGCGTACGATCCTGAAACCGGATGTTTGACATGGTTGAACAAGTTTTCGGAATATCACAATGATCAGCTTCGGGCTGAACTCATTAGACTCAGGAAGCTGTATCCTCATGTCAACATCATATACGGTGACTACTACAACGCTTTGTTACGACTTATCCAAGAACCATCCAAATTCGGTTAGACTTCTTCTTTGACTCCTCTACTGAATATCTACACAACCAAATCACTGACTCAGTTTCAATCAATGATACTTTCAGGGCTCATGAACAACCCCTTGCCCGTTTGTTGCGGTTTAGAAGGACCGTACAACTTCACCATTGGTGTTAAATGTGGTTTAAACGAAGTTGAATGTTGTAATGATCCTTCAAAGTATGTGAATTGGGACGGTATCCATATGACTGAGGCTGCGTACAAATGGATAGCTGAGGGTTTACTCAGAGGACCATATGCGGTTCCTTATTTCGATTGGTCTTGCCTCAGCTCCGAGATTAAGGACAAGGAGTCATTAGACATTTAGTATTCTCTGATGAACAGCTGATACAAGCTAGTCAAAAATTATAATAGACGAAGAGAGAGATAATAAGAAAAACTATATGTCCAACTTGAAAGAGCTTGTGTTGGATTCTGTATTTGTAGTGATGTTTGGAATAAGGTGTTGTTTGGGAGACGTGGTACTCAAGTGTTAACAGTAATAATCATGTTATATGCTAATAATATTTATTTAAACAATTTCATATCATATGTTTTTTGAACCCTAGAACTAGAAGTCCTGACCAAAATGCATTTGCTCTAACATTGATATTTACATATCAAATTATTCTAAAATCTTTATACGATTCTAATTTACACATATTTTCAAAATATTTTGTTACAACCAAACTGCATTTATATAATAAATAGGAGGGGAATGTAACATCTCTTTGAACCATGATGTGTTAGTCTGGTAGTGAATGGTTTCCGGCTGCATATACGGCCTCAGGTTCGACTCACACTAGCCACCACCGAGGTTTTCACATGCGTTCTTCGGCCCGAGGAGACCAACACGCGGTCTGAGGTAACGTGTGCCACTTAGTGGTTGCTCACTTCGCCAAAAGCTCTAAACCTATCCCGTGACTAGTCTGGACTACATATGTGGGGTCAAGACGGTGTGGACCACATATGTGGGGCCAGAATGTAAGCCATGCATCAACTAACAACGAACAAACAAAGTTATTGATTCTCTACCCACTGCGTCCAATAATTGATTCAATATAATTATTATGTAATTAATATTTGGTTTTTTCTTCGCTTTCAGCTCACGATAGTGAGGAAAAGGGTAGATAGGAGGATTTCATACTGAAAGGGACGATGGAGACCTAGCTTCGAGCATCTCACATGGCGTCTCACTATCAATTTCAGCTCAAACGGCCGCATCATTATCGATTTCATTGGTACGTCTCAACTGTCTCCTTTTTCTTTTCTTTACAGTATGAGTATGAGTGTACATCTTCCGAACAACACGGAGCCTTGTTCTATATTTTCTGGAAAGAGCAAGAATAACCTAATCATGGGCTTGTATTGTTTCTGGTTTTCACTCTTCTTGAAATACAACAACAAATTACCAAGTGTCGTTAGCTCAACTCAAAAACATCCTAAGCAAAGATTAGATAGAGGTCACATGATCGTGTGAGTAATGCTTGGAACTACGTTAATATTACATGATTTGGTTGTTTCATGTCTTGAAGTCATTCGGACCCACAACTTTCTCGTATTAAAAGAAAATGCAAAAAAAAAATTAAAAAAATCACAATGGATCTTGTTTATTTAAAGTTAACAAAGAAAAGTCATATTTTGGTTAATTTAAATGCATACCATTATACCAGACAGTTAGCTTTGTCTTGTAGAAAAGAAACAGAACAGATGATAGTTTTGTTTTTGCCCCATGTTGGAATCTTGAGCTGAAACAAAAGTAAAATTGCTAATATTATCTTCCGCTCTTTTCTTGTTTTCTTTATTGATGTAACGCTTCCGTTTTTATTGTTTTTTTCTGTATGCACCAATCTTACGTATAACTTCTTTGTTTGCATGCTCTTACTTGAATCATAAAGTACATGTATAGAACCTGAAAACATTAACTAGATTAACACTTGTTGGTTCCTTAAGTTACAGTTCTCTTTTATATGGTTGTGTGTTACAGCTGAATTCTTGGGTTTTCCGCTTGTGCCTCCTTTTTATGGATCTCAAAACGCAAACTTTGAAAATGGAGTCAATTTCGCCGTAGGTGGAGCAACGGCGCTGGAACGTTCTTTTATCGAGGAGAGAGGGATTCATTTTGCTTACACCAACGTCAGTTTAGGAGTTCAGCTTAAGAGCTTCAAGGATGCTTTGCCTAAGCTATGTGGCTCCCCATCAGGTGTGGAAGTTTCTTTTCTTTTCTGTATTTAGTTTGTGTTTAGAGATTCTACCCGTTTATGTTAACCAATCTAGTTTACATGTGGTAACGGTTTACTTAGTTAAATATTTTTCTTAGACTGCAGAGATATGATCTAAAATGCTCTGATTCTCATGGGAGAAATGTTGGGAATGTCCTAAAATCATTTGTACTTACTCTAGTAGAAGTCGTAATGGCGAGGTTCGACAATCGTATAAAATTAGGTGGTTATAATGTTTTGTTAGAAATCGCTTATAATCTATAGATTGAGAATCTATTACTAATTTTATATGATCCTACAGGGCACACATCTAAACAGACTAGATCAATAATATTTAAGGTTTAAAGTAATATGATATATATGATATAAAATGTTATATTATATATACATATGTGTTATGCTCGTTTGCACAAAAATGATTAATGTTAGGCTTGGGCGTTTTTAACTTAACCCGAAATACCGACCTTAACCCGAACCGGAAAAACCGAAACAGAATCCGAACTATTTTCCAAAAATATCTGTTGGGGTCAAAATCGGTACGACGGAATCAACGGCCGAAACTTCCCGCAGAAATATAAAAGGAGTCGTTTTGTAAAACCCGAAGAGTCGTTTTATAAAACTCGAGGATCGTTTTATAAAACTCGAGGACCGTTTTATAAAACTCGAGAATCGTTTTATAAAACCCGAGGATCATTTTATAAAACTCGAGAATCGTTTTATAAAACTCAAGGATCGTTTTATAAAATTCGAGAATCGTTTTATAAAACTCAAAGAATCGTTTTATAAAACTCGAGAATCGTTTTAGAAAACTCGAAGAATTGTTTTATAAAACTCGAGAATCGTTTTATAAAACTCGAGGATGATTTTATAAAACTCGAGAAGCCGTTTTATAAAACTCGAAGATCGTTTTATTAAACTCGAGAAGCCGTTTTATAAAACTCGAAGATCATTTTATAAAAATCCAGGGTCATTTTATAAAACTCGAGAATCGTTTTATAAAACTCGAGGATCATTTTATAAAACTCGAGAAGCTTTTTTATAAAACTCGAACATCGTTTTATAAAACTCGAGGATCGTTTTATAAAACTCGAGGATCGTTTTATAAAACTCGAGGATCGTTTTATAAAACTCGAGGATCGTTTTATAGAACTCGAGAAGCCGTTTTATAAAACTCGAGAGGCCGTTTTATAAAACTCGAAGATCGTTTTATAAAACTCGAGAAGCCGTTTTATAAAACTCGAAGATCATTTTATAAAACTCGAGAAGCCGTTTTATAAAACTCGAAGATCGTTTTATAAAACTCGAGAAGCCGTTTTATAAAACTCGAAAAATCGTTTTATAAAACTCGAAGAATCGTTTTATAAAACTCGAGAATCTTTTTATAAAACTCGAAGAATCATTTTATAAAACTCGAGAATCATTTTATAAAACTCGAAGAATCGTTTTATAAAACCCGAAGAATCGTTAAAACTCGAGAATCGTTTTATAAAACTCGAAGAGTCTTTTTACGAAACCGTAAAAAACCGAAACAGCCGTAAAACGCGAAATAGTCACGACTAGTTCGCCCACGGGCGAACTAAGCCGGCCCGGCTTAGTTCGCCGATGGGCGAACTAGGAGGCACTCTACTAGTTCGCCCATCGGCGAACTAAGCAGGCCCGGCTTAGTTCGCCGATGGGCGAACTAGTCCATCTCGACTAGTTCGCCCATTGGCGAACTAGTCCCGTCCCGGCTAGATCGCCATTGGGCGAACTAAGAGGTGCTGACATTGCCCCACTGGTTCTTTTCGCCTAGTTCGCCATATGGCGACCTAGCCAAGCTGAATTAGCTCGCCGTACGTCGAGCCGACCATCCCGAGCCTCGATCTCCCACATCCTTGATTCAAGGCATACGTCCTTCGACACGATCGTATTCCGAATCACGGTCGAAATGTCTCCCGTTTCGTCTCGATCCGTCCTATCGTTCGAGTTTTACGATAAAAACCGTAAAACTCCATTTTCCCGAAAAGAACTCGAAGAAATCGTATAAAACAGTAACGGTTAATCAAAACACCGAACGTCGCCTAAACTATACGATCTATCCGAGATTCTTCGTTAAGATTATAAAAACGCGTTTCTAATAAAAAACGTCGAGAGAATCGTAAAAAAACGGCATCGGATCAGGAAACGGTCTCGTTAAAGTCGTAAAACGGTTTTTATCGTAAAACGGCCCGAAAGGTCCTAAAACACGATAAAAACCCATCTCGCGACGTTATTGAAATCAAACCCGAAGATACTATAACGCTTTGACGGTCTACTCGCAGACGGAAGATAAAAGGCAAGTTTGAAGATAAATAGAAGATTTCCGCAGAAGAAAAGGAAGGATCGACAGATATGGAAAGTTCCCGAAATATTCGGTTTCGAACAAAATGGAAAGACTAAAACCGCCTAAGGAGGAGTATATAAGGAGGAGGCATAGGTCAGAAGCTGAGGGACGAAAGCCAGAGCTCTCATCTGAGACTTTCACAACTTTTCTAGATTTAGAATTTTCCGCACTTAGAAACTTAGGCTTTTTCTGGACAAGTTCGGTTTCTATGACTGGCGCTCAATTACTAGACGAACTCGCCCAGGCAGTTCGATCTCTTGTCCAGCTCGATCAACTGAACTACGTTCGACTTGATCCCCGAAAGGGGTACGTAGGCAGCCTTTCATAAGGTTCAGTCCGAAATCATTCAAACCTTTTTTCCTATCTTTTTCCGTTTTTCGTTATCGAGCTGCGACTCAACTAGATCTAGGGTTTTATGTTTGTAACTCGCTGATGGCCCCTGCGGCCAACGCCTTTGTAATTCCTTGTAATGATCGCAACGCTCTTACGCGAATCGGAAATAAGATCGACTTTCTTTATAAATTCGTTTTATTATGTTTTTCATATTTTTCCGCATTTATTTGGTTACTTTTCGTTGGCTTTTGCAGAGATCCGGTTCCTCTGGAAAATTAGGGTTTCCTAAGTTTCCTTATTTAACGGAAATCGACAAGTGTGAATTTCGGTTCCCACAGTTTGGCGCTAGAAGGAGGGGGGGTCGGATTACACTTACTCATAGCCGCAAAACGCTTGACCAAAACGATGTCTGGATGTATGAAAGACGAAGTCGCAACTCGCAAAAAGACGTTGGTAAAACAACTCCAGCAGCAACTACTCCTACAGCCAACGCTCGCGCAAACGCTGTAGTACTCAACAAAATCGAAAACCTAATCGCGACTCTTCACCACGGAAAGAGCAACAAAACAAGCTCACGATTTCTATCTCAGATCACTAAGGGCAACGATAAAATCTATCAAACCCCATAGTGTTTTTCTTATTTCCGAGTTGGACAAATCTCACGCGTTAAGCAAAAGACGTTTTCCGAGAACCTTTCGGAAAAATAAAGCTTGCTCTCCCAGAAACCGCGGAACAAACCGTAACTTACTCGAGAAAATAAATCCTAGGATACTCGGGGAAAACCCTAGGCTGTTCACGGAAAAATCTTAGGTGACTCGCGGAAAAACCGTAGGTTATTCGCGGCAAAACCCTAGGTTTTCCGCGGAAAAACCCTAGGTTACTCGCGTAGAAAGCCTTAGGTGACTCGCGGAAAAACCGTAGGTTATTCGCGGCAAAACCCTAGGTTGTTCGTGGAAAAACCCTAGGTTACGCGCGTAGAAAGCCTTAGGTGACTCGCGGAAAAACCGTAGGTTATTCGCGGCAAAACCCTAGGTTGTTCGCGGAAAAACCCTAGGTTACTCACGGAGAAAGCCCTAGGTTACTCGTGGAGAAAGCCCTAGGATACTCGCGGAAAAATCCTAGGTTATTCGCGACAAAACCCTAGGTCGCTCGCGGAAGAACCTTAGGCTACTCGCAGAATCGGGCAATACTATCCAGCCGAAAAGACGGTGAGTTGGCCAAGCAACCTAGCTTGCCATCTTGGCGAGCTGACCGGCTTTCCACCTCGTCTCAGAGGCACTGACTTTTTCCCGAGGGTCTGCACAATCCAACTCATAGCAATGGTGAGCCGGACCGTACTCTATACAATAATCACACTGCTTTTCGTTTCGTCTCAATCAAAGTTTTCGTTGAGGTTTTACCACGAAAACAAGATAGCTTGATGAATCGGGACCGTGCTCGCAGACTCACCATTAGGCAAGTTGGACAAGCTCGATGGATCGAAACATCTCCATCTCGAATCTTGATCGAGAAGCTTTTCGTTTCGTCTCAATCGGACTTTCCGTTGAGATTCTACGACGAAAACAAGTCAACTCGGCGAATCGAGATCACCCGCGCCAAGCGTCTTAGCTCGCCGAACGTAGGGCTAGCTAGCTCGCCATACAGCGAGCTGATCCGAGCGCCTGGCTCACCCAAGAGACGCTGACTTCGCCCCAAGGGTTCTTACAATCCAGATCGGCACATGACGAGCTGAAAAGGTTCACCAAACTAGCCTTACATCGAGCTGAACCAATCCTCGAGTTCTCTCGAAGTCTTGATCGCGCTGATTCTCGTTTCGTCTGAACCGGAATTTCCATCGGGATTTTACGATAAAACCGCAAAGAATTGTTTCTTCATATAAGTTCGAATCGATCGTCTAAAACGCCAACGGTTGACTTAACACCAAAGTTTCCTAAACTATACGAGAAATCTGAACTCTCTAAACCTAATCCGATTTTACGAAACTCTGCCACGCTAAGTCGAAAACATCCAATCATAAATACGTGATTGATTTTTTTCGATATACAAAGCGCCCCTAGTCGGTCAAATAAAACCAGCAGTACGAAGAAACAAGAACATGGGCTCCGATGGTTAAGTCTTCTCCCCGCTCCGATACTCTCGCTGTAATTTGTCGAAGACCGGTAGGTCAAAAGATGAAGAACAAAGAATAGACGACCCCAAATCATCGATGAAGCTAAGGTATGTCCGATTCAAAAATTTTATTAGACTTCTAATTTATCGTAGGTAAGAAACGAAAACGTCTTGTAAACTGCCAAGAAACCTAGAGAACTTAGAATTTA